TGCGCATCAGAGAAGCGTTGAAAACCAGTTTTGTGACTGGCCAGGCTACGGAGTGAAACTTCTGTTTGTTTCTCCTTGATGAACCCTCCGCCCCTACACCCCCCCCACCCGGTTAACTCTATACTTCCCTGTAAACCAACAACCCCACCCTCCCCTACTACCCTCCCCCCTTCGAGCACCACTTGCAGAGGCAATAAAGTCATTGTTACTTCACATTCATGCATTCTTTATTAATTCAGCACAAAACTAGGGGGATAATTGCAAAGGTAGGCCTGGATGGGTGGGGGAGGAGGGAAGGAAAAGGACACAGTGCACTTTAAAACTTTAAAACTTATTGCACTGGAAATCATCTAGGCTGGAGTGATTGGGTGGCCGGAGGCCCCCGCACCGTGTTCTTGGGCGTCTGGGTGAGGAGGCAATGGGACTTGGGGAGGAGGGCTGTTGGTTACAGAGGGGCTGTAGCGGCGGTCTCTGCTCCTGCTGCCTTTCCTGCAGCTCAACCATACGCAGGAGCATATCACTTTGATGCTCCAGCAGCCGGAGCATCGACTCTTGCTTTCTGAGTACAAGTTGATGCCACTTCTCCTCTTCAGCCCGCGTTTCAGCACGCAACTTCTCCTCTTCAGCCCGCGATTCAGCACGCCACCTCTCCTCTCGCTCATATTGGGCTTTTTTAAAATCAGTCATTGATTGCCTCCACGCATTCTGCTGTGCTCTGTCAGCGTGGGAGGCAGTCTGTAGTTCAGTGAACATTTCGTCACGCGTCCTTCGCTTCCTTCTTCGAATATTCACTAGCCTCTGTGAAGGTGCAACATTTGCAGCTGGTGGAGGAGAAGGGAGAGTTGTTTAAAAAAGATACATTTTAGAGAACAATGGGTACACTCTTTCACGTTAGATTTTGCTGTTCACATCACACAGCACATGTGCTTTCGTTACAAGGTCGCATTTTTCCTCTTATATTGAGGGCCTGCCGGTTTGGTGTGAGAGATCACTCACGCAGTGCCAGGCCACAGATTTCAGCTTGCAGGCAGCCATGGTAAGACACAGTCTTTTGGCTTTTTTAACCTTGTTAACAAGTGGGGATGCTTTAAAACAGTACTGCTCTCATTAACCATACCAAGCACCCGTTGGGTTGGCCATTTAAAATGGGTTTGCAATGTAAAAGGAGGGGCTGCGGTTTCAGGTTTAACATGCAGCACAAACCCAACTAACTCCCCTCCCCCACACACCCAATTCTCTGGGATGGTCACTTCACCCCTCCCCCCCACCGCGTGGTTAACAGCAGGGAATATTTCTGTTCAGCAGAGCAGGAAGGGGCACCTCTGAATGTCCCCTTAATAAAATTGCGCCATTTCAACCAGGTGACCGTGAATGATATCACTCTCCTGAGGATAACAAAGAGCGATAAGGAATGGATGTTGTCTGCATGCCAGCAAACACCCGGACCATACGCTGCCATGCTTTGTTATGCAATGATTCCAGACTACGTGCTACTGGCCTGGCGTGGTAAAGTGTCCTACCATGGCGGACGGAATAAGGCAGCCCTCCCCAGAAACCTTTTGCAAAGGCTTTGGGAGTACATGAAGGAGAGCTTTCTGGAGACGTCCCTGGAGGATTTCCACTCCATCCCCATACACGTTAACAGACTTTTCCAGTAGCTGTACTGGCCGCGATTGCCAGGGCAAATTAATCATTAATCATTAAACACGCTTGTTTTTAAACCATGTGTAATATTTACAAAGGTACACTCACCAGAGGTCCCCTGTGTGCCCCCAGGGTCTTGGGTGAGTTCGGGGGTTACTGGTTCCAGGTCCAGGGTGACAAACATATCCTGGCTGTTGGGGTAACTGGTTTCTCCGCTTCCTTGCTGCTGTGAGCTATCTATGTTCTCTCCATCCTCATCTTCCTCGTCCGCCGAACCCGCTTCCCTGTTTCCAGCGAGGGACTCATAGCACACGCTTGGGCTAGTGGTGGCATGCAGCTCCGCGTAGTAGCGGCACGTTTGCGGCTCAGCCCCCGACCTTCCGTTTGCGTCTCTGGCTTTGTGGTAGGCTTGCCTTAGCTCCTTAATTTTCACGCGGCACTGCTGTGCGTCCCTGTTATGGCCTCTGTCCTTCATGGCCTTGGAGATCTTTTCTAATGTTTTACCATTTCTTTTACTGCTTCGGAGTTCGGCGAGCACTGATTCATCTCCCCAGATGGCGATCAGATCCTGTACCTCCCGTTCGGTCCAGGCTGGAGCTCTTCTGCGATACTGGGACTGGGACTCCATCACGGTTACCTGTGCTGATGAGCTCTGCATGGTCACCTGTGCTCTCCATGCTGAGCAAACAGGAAATGAAATTCAAACGTTCGCGGGGCTTTTCCTGTCTACCTGGCCAGTGCATCTGAGATGAGAGTGCTGTCCAGAGCGGTCACAATGAAGCACTGTGGAATAGCTCCCGGAGGCCAATAATGTCGAATTCCGTCCACACTAACCCAATTCCGACCCCCTAAGGCCGATTTTATCGCTAATCCCCTCGTCGAGGTGGTGTAAAGAAACCGGTTTAAAGGGCCCTTTAAGTCGAAAGAAAGGGCTTCGTAGTGTAAACGTGTCCAGGCTTAAGTCGATTTAACGCGGCTAAAGTCGACCTAACCTCGTAGTGTAGACCAGGCCTTATAAAGTGTTATTTCTACTTGAACTATGGGGGGGGGGGGGGAACTACTGGTCTGATTTTCTTACATGCTCAGAACCCACAGCTCCCTTAGCCTAATCTAAAAGTCCAAGGAACAGCTCTGAAGATCAGATTATAAATATTTCTTACAAGTTTAAATCCATCAGCTATTTCTCTAGATGAAGGCTCTGTCCACACTCAAATCAGAACTATGCTAGCTACAAACACATTGAAAGCCTGCTGGGGCTAGCATGATTTTCCTGAGTATTGTCAATACGGATTCTTTTCTGAGCTATGCTAACCCTACCATGACAGGCAACTTTCTGTAATAGGAGGACAGACTCTGTGCCCTGCATAGGCAAACAAGGACCTTCAGATTCAGGTGCTCACAACTAACATGAAGGTGCAGGCAATCACTAACAGATGGATTCAATTCTCTCCAACCACAACATAAGAAGGGACAGAAGGCATGAATGAGTCCTTGCAACAGTCATACTTGGAGGAAAAGATTAAGCTTATGTTTGAGTTGCTCACTTCCTGAGGTGAGTTTTATCAGTAAGTTTGGACTACATACAGTATCTGTACACTCTGATTGGAGCAGGGTGGGAATACCACTTCCTTTACTACCTCCCCACCACTGTTTGTCTATCATATGGGACTCTGACAGAACCACACTAGTCAGGGAAAGAGCTGGTTGACTACAATCGCATTTAATTTATCCCACCCTGTGGTTAATGTGGTGCTTGCTGTTCCCAGTGTGAACAAGGCATGGAAGATTACACTGTTTCAGCTTCAGTTCTGAACAATAACATTTAAGAAAGGAATGAAGTGAGAGGGTTGAATCTTATTGAGCTTCCATGGAAGCTCAAGTATAATATCTTTGAAAAAGGGACAGTTGGTGTGGTAATAAGATGTTTGTGGATAATAAGAAGATGTTTGTGGATCTGAATTCTGCCACCAGCCAAAGTATTAAGGAAGCAACTCAGGTGGTGGAATTTAGTATGTCCAGATGCCTCCCACAGACTGCAGCATAAAATGAGTTCCTAGTAGGTTTTTTCCCCCTTTCTCCTGGCAGGCAGCTATCCTGCCTGAACAGGCCCCAAAATATGCAGCCAAAGCAACTTTTAAAAAACTTTGTTAGCTCAGCTCTGAGCTGTAGTGATAGATCATACTCTAAATGTAGGCAGAAATGCAGAATTGGCAGCTGTCAGGGTTCTCCATTTATCAGAGTGAGTCCTTTACAAAATAATACTTTGAGCTATATCCTCACGAGCAGGAGACAGGAAACCCTCATTTGCTAGTTTTCCTACACATTATTCCATCGGGGGGTATGGTTCATGTGGACCCTCAACAAAGCCAGCAGGAATGTTGGCCTCCCCCAAACCAGAAAATCCCTCAAGGTCCCAGATGCAGAAGTCATTTGCATAGAGGCCCTGTCAGTTTTCCACCAGCTCTCCCTGTCCGCACAGCTCCAGAACTCCCATCTGCTGCTGCAACTGAGACCCACCCAGAGAGGGCTTCACAGCAGAGACAGAAAAGTGGGTAAACTAATGTAACGAAATCAGTGTAGAGCTTCGGTTGAGCTGAAGGGAACACTGCCATGGAGATGTGACCTGCACTTCCATGCTCGGAATAATGATCTCTGCACTCACTGCTTGTACAAACCTACAGTACTAAACAGCTCCAAGGATGCACCTGTACTAGAAAAAACAGGAACTATAATCCCCAACTGATGCAGCTCCACCAAAGGAGGCTGTAGCATAGAGTTAGACAACTCAATGGCTACACCACCTTGAACCCATCCATGCTACAGCCTCTGCCAGCACTACAACTGGTGGAGCTGCACTGGTCAGCAGTTGTGGGCTCTAGTTCATCCCAGGGCTGACACGGCTTCAGTGAGGATCCGTTCTTGGGAGGCTGTGGGGTGGTTTTGTTACGTGAAACAGACCAGATTTTGGCTTTCATACTCCATCTGATAAGTTCCTGGTTTACTGACATGTTCGATAGATCTCCATGGTTTTAAGATGATGGGAACTATACATTTACTGGCATTAGCTGCAATTCAGTCCCCTGCCCCGACCAGCCAACCGCCTCCTGCGCCCCCTCCCCCCCCGACCAGCCAACCGCCTCCTGCCCCCGCGGAGTGCTCCCGCTTCCACCCCCACCCCAGAGTCAGCGCCAGCTTCCGGCCCCGCGCTCGCTCGGCCGCCAGCACCGGGAGGCCTCTTACCTGCGGACCCCACGTGCAACGCCTCCCCTCCCCCCCTCCGCGTGTTCGCCGAGCCCGGGTGGCTCTGACCCGGAAGCGGAAAGCAGCGCCTGGCGCGGGCTCCTCTGGGTAATCTCCGCCTACGGCTTGGGGGTTGCTTGGTAACCGCGCCCCTCCATGGCTGTAGCTCAGGGACCAAAGACGCTCTGGGAGCAAATCTGTGCTGGTGAGAGAGAATCCCCCTCGCCCCCAGTCTCCCCTCGGGCGGGGCTCCCCAAGCCCCCCTTTCTGGGGCAGGGGATAAGTGGAGACTCCCCCAAGCCTCCCTCACTGAGTTGTGGGGACTCCCCCCTTCGGAGCTGCTCCGAGCCTCCATCAGTGAGCTAGGGAGGCGGGTTCGCTGTAAGTCCGTTTCTCTCTCTCTGGGGCTGGAGGCTTTTGTCTGTCAATTTCAGTAATTGAAACTGTCTCGCTCCTGGTTTTTTGCATTCAAATCCCTCTCCTGGGGAGAATCTGGTTCAGCAGGGTTGCAGAGAACTAGACATTAGGGTGTCCCTTTGAAATATAAACATTAGACTGACCCAGCTCAAAACACTGCCACTGGTTCAGAAATCTAAAAGAAAATACATTGTTCACAAATGCAGGATGAAAGGTTCAGATATATTTACTAAAATGTGTATATTGCTCTTGTGATTTAAATTGTCACCAGGCACTCTGATTAGAAATATAGCCTTGTATCATGCGCTGGTGAAGGTTTTATTTATTACACCCTTAATGAAGTGCTAATATCATTGCCTTTTGTATGAGAGTAATCTGCTTCCCAATTGAATCCAGCCTTCTGGTTTATCACAAGGGAATCAGTTTATTGCCTCATAAAAGCAGATAGGCAATGATATCGCAAGTGTAATTAACACAAAATTAATAAGCCTTGTTTTCAATTTCAACAATAGAAGCCTTTGTCTTGGTCATTCCCCAGCATCTGCAGTGGCAGCTGTGGCTACTAGGAATATTCAGGAAGTTGAGGAGCCCACACCACCAGTCATTTGATTGTACCTAAAGTTATCTATTTATTTATTTAGTATTTATAGTGCCCTACAGTGTGATAAGTGCTTTATATTAAATGGCCATTTTTAATCCTAGAATAAAATGCCACCTACCCTAACTTGACTGAATCAGTGGGTGTATACCATGGATGGAGGCCATAATGCCAGTTAAGGCACATGACTATAAAAATGGTAGGTTGGGTGGTTGCAGGCATATTTTGCATCTAAGGCCTTCATCTTGAATTGTGTAGTGTGAGGGAAGATTGCAGCTTCTTCCCATAGTCCCCTTCAAAGTTAGTGGGGCTCTGCAGGGACACCTAGTTCCTAAAGAATGCTGGATCAGGGTTTAAGTCTACAATTCCATTTTGGGTTTCTGGTGATGTCGACTAACTGCTTAAGCATTAGTTTTAATGTCAAGATACCACCCCGAACCATGTATTTACAATTGTAATGTAAACTTAGGTACTGAAGATATAATGCCAAATATTTTATTAAGATAATATTCTGTAAGATTTCAGTTTTGCTTCTCAGATCCATATATTCCTACTGTATGAGTAAAATAAACTTGTGGAAAGATTTGAATGGTTCATGTATAGAAATCCTGAGATTTGTCAGAACTTTCCAGTTAGAGAACCATTGAAATCCCTTACTGGGGCCCTTTATTCTCTATTTTTAAATTTAATTTCATAAGGAGCAAAATTTCTTCTTGGTGGATCTTAACTACACTCTGTTGCTCTCCATGTGGCAGATCCAAGACCAATGAAGTTAACTGAAGTATTCCGTTTTATTTCAGAGGGAGTTGGGTCCAGCCCCATACCTTTGCAAATCTATCATTGACATCAGTAGGAGATCTGTACATATAGTGAGAGCAGAACACCTGAGTGGGTTTCTGCCTTTGATATGTATTAGGAACATTTTGCACTTGGGGTAAGTGGAACTGTTGTCTAATGGTCAGCACATACGGCCAGGATTCAGGACTCCTGGGTTCAGTTTTTTACTGATTCACTGAATAGTTTGCAAAGATCACATAACCTCTCTGCACTTCCATGTTTTCCTTTATAAACTGTAGATGATAATAGTTAGCTACCTCACAGGAGTTTAATTGTTTAAGGGGGTCCCCACGTATACATCGGGGTTGTGGTCTTGTAAAGGGCAACGGATACTGAAATGACAAATACTGAGGAATTTTTCCCCATAAAAAATAATGGCCTGCCCTGCCTCTTCCTGCCTCCCCTCTACTCCCACCCCGCCTCTTCCCGCCCAGTTCCACCCCCTGCTCCGAGTGTACCCCAACCCCCTCCGTCCCGGCACCTCTTGAACGCTGGGGGAAGCACCCAAAGAAAACCACGCAAAAAGTGAAGCGACAGATATGCGGATCGGGACCGATGTGAACTGGAACACGTTCCCCTATTGATAAGCGACGGTTACGCAAAATGACTGATAAGAGGACCCCCTGTATAAAGAGCCTCATTTGAAAAGCACTATTGCATATAAGTGAAAAGTATTCTTAATTTCATGCAAGCATCCTCATTTTATTTAACAAACATTTTATAGTCTTAAACTATGCCAAATTGCTTACTTAGTACAAAAAGCCTATTTTCAAGAAAGGCTTCCTGTATCACTGAAAATATTGACCTTGATTCTCCAAGACAAGTGACTCAGAAGTTCTCTCATTTTAATAAATTAGATTTTGTGTTAAGTATTTGCTTATCATACATGGTTTATAATTTTTGCAAATGAAAGTAGCTTTTAATAAGTAATATTTGTTTGTATGTTTTCAGAAAAATAGTTATAAAGTCCTTTTGACATTTGGTGTGGTGCTGGGTTTTGTCTTGTTTTAGAGTACGAAGCAGAGCAGCCTCCATTTCCGTATAGTCCTGAATTAAAACAAGATTCTGTGAGTACATTTCAAGCAAAAAATCTGTATAGGGTATGTCTGAAAATGTGCATCTATTTCTAAAGGGGAAGATTAGGTATCCAAAATATCTCCAGATTCATTCGATGAATATGTGACCGTGTATTTAAAATTTCTCTTAAGTGTCAAATGCAATATTCCAGTAATCACTGCTGTTCTTTAAAGATATTTTGGTAAGGCTGCTATGCCTAAATTTAGATTACCAGCTGTGTTTTGGTTTGCACATTGCACTGTCCCTCTGCTCTGCCTGTCTGCTTCCTTCTTATGAATAGGCAGGATATTGAAATACGCAAGCATCTTGTTCACTGGATTCCTGCATATTTCAATACTCTCCCTGATCGCAAGAATGAGGCAAGTAGGCAGAGTAGAAGACTGGTGCTCTGTTTTCACACGTGTCATTATTGCCTTACTCAAACTCTTGCTATTGCAAAGACACACAGATCCTCACATTTATTGTTGGTGTATCACCTGGTGGTGAGTTTGGAATTTCATGCTGAATCCCTCAGTTTGGGAAGCTGTTTTTTGTTTTCCCCTTCCATATTTAAAAAAAAAAAAAGTTACAAAAAAGTGGACCAGACTCAGGCCTACTACCATAGAACCTCAGAGTTACGAACAGCTTGGGAATGGAGGTTGTTCCGAAGTCTGCAATGTTTGTAACTCTGAACAAAGCGTTACGGTTGTTCTTTCAAAAGTTTACAACTGAACATTGACTTAATACAGCTTTGAAACTTTACTATGTAGAAGAAAAATGCTGCTTTTAACAGCCTTAATTTAAATGAAACAAACACAAAAAGTTTTTTTTAACTTAGTCTCTTTTTTAAAACTTTCCCGTTATTGTTTTTGTAGTTTATGTTTAACACGGTACTGTACAGTATTTGAGTTTTTTGTTGTTTCTGCTGCCTGATTGCTTACTTCCAGTTCCAAATGAGGTGTGTGGTTGATCAGTCAGTTTATAACTCTGTTGTTCGTAACTGAGGTTCTACTATATAAGATGGGCATCTTTGCCTGGTCTGTATTTGGCTAAGTATTTTTATTGTAGGAAAACTTTGGGCCTGTTGATGTCAACAGTGTTCATAAAACTTTTCAAAAAAAACTTTGAGCCCTTGTCTCAAAAAGAACTGCATGAGCAGGGAGATAAATCATCACAGACTCAAATACAAAACTCATTGTGTAAAGCTCCAAATTACCCCTACAAAATGATCTAAAACCCAAAGTTTGATCAGCCTATTTTGGATGTTTTCATTTAAACTAGGCATCTCATAGCTATATTTTAGCCCACTATACATCAGTTAGCTTACAATATTAACATTTTATATGAATATTTACATATTCTAATTCTGTGCTAAGCTGTCTAGGATATCCTGTTGCCCTAAGTGAAAATAACACCATTATAAATATTAATTTATGTAAAAAGAATAGCAAATTCTGATGACTGTGTCATTAGTTTGGGAGTAATATATCTGTTTCCCTGCAATTGCATCAAAAACATAGTGCAATGACGTGCATTTATATATTAATGAAGTTCTGTTAATTCCTTAATAGAATTTGTTTATGAACCTTGCGTGTATTAAAAAGAAGCCTACTCATGCTGTTTTATCAATACGCAATGTATTAGGGGCCTGATCCTACTAATATTTTGTTCAGTAGAGCAGGAGCATGTTCATAAACCCATCTGAGTTCTAATATGCAACAGTTTATTATGCCAAATTTTGATAGCAAATTATGACAGTGATGCAATAGTGTTGGTATGAGGTGTTTGCCTTCCTCTTTCTAAACATTAGGGATAGGTCACTGTCTGATAGAGTGATATTCTTGTCCACTATAATCGTATCTGTGTTCCTAGAAACACAGATCAAACTTTGGGCCTTCAGTCTTGTTAGTCTCACTATTTTGTCCGATTATGATTTTTCACAAGCTGTGTAACTGCAATTTTTTTCATGCGAGAAAAATTCAGACTTGGGTTTACATCAGCTTTGAATTTGCCTCTCTGTATTTTGTTTAAAAACACACACATTTCAATCTTTTTTTATTTCTTAAACAACAAAAATAATTCCAGGATACAAAGGCAAGTAGTGTATGCAAGCAATTGAATGGAAAAATTTTTAGTAAGGAAAATATTTCAATTTTAGTTTCCAAAGGGGTATTATTTATTGACAGTGAGTAAAATACATTTTTAAATTGTGAAAATCCCTTGACAGTGCCCTTTTTAAGACAACTGTCCTAGCCTTTCATATGCATAGCCTCCTACATTTGGATATTTTTAGTGCACTGCAGCCTAGATTTTTTTCCGCCCCCCAACAGAATTCTCTCTCTGTTTAAAGTATTCATGAAGATAGAAACTGTCCAGCCCAAATATTGAAATCAGTTAATATTTTACTTATTGTAAATTCCTTTTTTACAAAACTTGTATTTCCTCTCACACTCAATTTATCTGAAATATATTTATGAAGGGAAACCAATCTGGATGAGATATTTGTCAAGTATGTTTATTTTTAACAGGTTTCTTTGGATACAGGAATTTTGCAGCCTTTACATACAAAACAATTATACTCAACTTCTACTGAATGTTCCATTGCCCCAAAAATATCTTCCTTACCCGCGCTCGCACCACTTCCAGCAGCACCTAATCCAAAAACATGTAAGTAATGGTCTGAAAGAATATATTTACTTGATAAGGAACAGAAAGGATGTAAAGAAGCTCTTGTGAGTACAGGCAACCTGTGCATGGTACAGAGGATAAGGTCTCTTGATACAGTACGTTGGGGTGGGCACAGAGCTATATATGGCTAATATTACTGACCATAGACAAAGACCTGAAAAAGAATGTCTGGATTTATATGAAAGGGTTCCTCCTGGGCCAAAAAATAATTTAGCATGTACGCTGCCTTCCATACCACTTTGTAAGTTCTAGCAAGTTTCTGCACAGAAGACCTGAAATAAGACATGACCCACAGTATGTTGGGCTATCCTGACAAGCTATCCTACCTTTGAAAGAGTGCATATACTAGCATATTAGGGTACACCCTGCTGTGATTATTTCAAAGTATAAATTAAGAATTTCTACATTTTTTTTTATTTGAGATTCTCATGACTGGTCCCCAGTACTTCAACCACATACCCCACTTTGGGCCCATGTGTCCTTGCAGAGTCATATTGATATACTCTGCAGGCATTAGAAATCTAAAACAATGCATTTGTTTGTAGGATTAAGGGCTTAATGTATAGTTGTACAAATCTATTGAGGACAATTTTCCAACCCTGAATAGTGACTTTTTACTCAGCTGTTTATATTACAACTAGGGCTGTCGCGCAGTTAATTGCACTCTTAAACAATAATAGAATACTATTTATTTAAATAGTTTTGGATATTTTCTACATTTTCCAATATTGATTTCAGTTACAACACAGACAACAAAGTGTATAGTGCTCACTTTATATTTTTGATTACAAATATTTGCACTGTAAAAAACAAGTGATAGTATTTTTCAGTTCACCTCATACAAGTACTGTAGTGCAATCTCTTTATCATGAAAGTTGAACTTACAAATGTAGAATTATGTACAAAAAATAACTGCATTCAAAAACAAAACCATGAAAACTTTAGAGCCTACAAGTCCACTCAGTCCTACTTCTTGTTCGTCTGAGCGATTGGCTGAACAAGTTTGTTTACATTTGCAGGAGATAACGCTGCCCGCTTCTTGTTTACAATATCACCTGAAAGTGAGAACAAGCATTCTCATGGCATTGTTGTAGCCGGCATTGCAAGACATTTATGCGCCAGATGCACTAAAGATTCATATGTCCCTTCATGCTTCAACCATCATTCCAGAGGACACGCATCCATGCTGATAACGGGTTCTGCTCGATAACCAAAGCAATCCAAAGCAATGCAGACCGACGCATGTTCATTTTCATCATCTGAGTCAGATGCCACCAGCAGAAGATTGATTTTCTTTTTTGGTGGTTCGGGTTCTGTAGTTTCTGCATCAGAGTGTTGATCTTTTAAGACTTCTGAAAGCATGCTCAGTCTACACCTCATCCTCAGGTTTTTGGACAGCACTTCGGATTCTTAAAACTTTGGGTTGAGTGATGTAGCTATCTTTAGAAATCTCACATTGGTACCTTCTTTGCGTTTTGTCAAATCTGCTGTGAAAGTGATCTTAAAACAAACGTGCTGTGTCATCATCCAAGACTGCTATAACATGAAATGTATGGCAGAATGCGGGTAAAACAGAACAGGAGACATACAATTGTCCCCCAATGAGTTCAGTCACAAATTTAATTAACACATTATTTTTTTAACGAGCATCATCAGATGGAAGCGTGGCCGAAGCATGAAGAGACATACAAATGTTTAGCACATCTGGCACGTAAATACTTGGCACTTTTGTAGCCAGCATTGCAATGAGAACGCCTGTTCTCACTTTCAGGTGACGTAAATAAGAAGCAGGCAGCAGTATCTCCCGTAAATATAAACAAACTTGTTTGTCTTAGAGATTGAACAAGAAGTAGGACTGAGTGGATTTGTAGGCTCTGAAGTTTTACATTTCGTTTTTGAGTGCAGTTACGTAACAAAAAGCTCTACATTTGTAAGTTTCACTTTCACCATAAAGAGATTGCACTACAGTACTTGTATGAGGTGAACTGAAAAATACTATTTCTTTTATCATTTTTACAGTGCAAATATTTGTAAGAAAAAAATAACACTATAAAGTGAGCACTCTCTACTTTGTATACTGTGTTGTAATTGAAATTAATATATTTGAAAATGTAGAAAAATATCCAAAAATAGTTAATAAATTTCAATTGGTATTCTATTGTTTAACAGCGCAATTAAAACTGCAATTAATCGCGATTAATGTTTTTGAGTTAACTGCGATTAATCGACAGCTCTAATTACAACAGAAGAAAGGCAAGTATTTTTCCCTTCTAATCTTAAGGTCAAATTAGTTTCAGTAAGATAACTATATAATTGAGTCTGAAAATTCCTTTCAAAATATAGTCCTTTGCGCATCAGTTTCTTTTCCATCTGTGTTCAGACTCTGAATCCTTCTTCTTCCATTTTTATCAGTCTGGTTTCAACTTTCTGAAATTCACATCGAATCTGTAACAATGTTTTCCTTTAGATGTTCTGCTCTTTAGCCTTTATATTGTCTTTCAACCCATCACCTTTCTTCACCTCCTTTTCTAAGTTTCTTCTCTTTCTTCTGTTCATTGTTTTCCATTGCTGGCAGTGAGAAGCAGTAATATCATAGGCTTTTATATAAGGTGCCCTTCCAATTAGGAACATTTTCAAGCGGTGTCTGAACTGGATTAAGGATGTGAAGCAATGAACAAAGCCTTTGCTCCAGATATACATTGCCAGGAGACCACCCTTTTAATAATTAATCTGTATTTGCCACATTAAGACAGGAATATTTACTGCAACAGCAGCTGAGCTCTCAACTGAGGACAGCACTTCAGCTGGTTAGGGCACCTCCCCCACCCCCAAAAAAAGTTCTGTGCTGATTTCTGAATCACTCTGATCTGATGACTAATAAAAATTGTTCCACACCTGAAGTAAATTTATTTTATAATGTACAGTGCTCCATAATACTTCTTCTTAAGGTCTTTAGTACAGACAAATTTGAATCTTGAAAAGAGTTCACTTTTCTCAGTGACTTTGGTGTCTAGATTATGATTTTCAAAGAAGCAAAAGAGTTAAATGCCCAAATCTCATTGAAACTCAGTGTCATTTGGACACACAAAGCCTTAGGCACATTTAAAACTCCAGCCTTTGGAATTTGGAGTGTATTTGCTTCCATTTCTAAGATTGGCATACAAGGTACCCAATTTGTGTCTAGTTTGGCTGCATATTTTATGGACAATTAAGACTATTAACACCACCATGGCTAAACAAACAGGACACACTTAAATTATTAAAATAATTATTACTATCAAGCATGGGATAAGAGTAAAACTTGTTTAGTTGTTATGTCGTTAATCAGGATTTTTTGTGTGTGAAATTAGTTACATACATTGTACTGAAATGCTTCTTAGAAATGGCTTCCTTGTTTGATTTAATTTATCTAACTTTGAGATAATAAAAGTCAGAAGAAAACGTGGATCATATTCTGCTCTTGGCTAAACCAGTGTAAATCTGGAGTAATTCCAATGAAGGCGATGGAATTAGTGGCATAAATCCAGAGTAATCCAGGGCAGAAATTCACCTGATTAAAACAAATGTCTGTGCATTTACATACACTGGACCATGTAATTTGAAAGGTAATCATTTTAGTCTTTTGAGTTAATTTTTTTTCACCTTAAAGACTGAAGCTTGTATTTTCAAAAGTACCTGTCATAGGCCTAACTCTGTGCTCATTGAAGTTAATGGGATCTTTACCATTGACTTCACTGAGAGCAGAGTTAGATCAACACTGCATGCTTTTGAAAATTTCACTCTTAAAATTCTCCCCTATATTTAAACATGCTTTCTGTTTCAAGGAGCACAACCATGAACTGGCTTTGTTGTCTAAAGCTAAGTGTTATGTCTACCAAGCTGGAAATCAAAGTCCAAATCCCATTTCAGTCTCTCGCTTCTAAGGCCACAGGACTGGCAATCTAGGTGAGAAGCAAAACATCAGAACACCTAGCAGTTCTGCCTGCTGACAGATCAGGAGCCACACATTGATGGAGCTCTGATGGCAATTCTGTTTGTTTCTCTTGTTCCTGGAGGGGTTTATTCATGATGACAAAGCCTGTGAAAAGTAGGTGGGTAAGAGAGGGAAATCCATGTGCCACAAAGTGAAGATTTGACCAGGCCCTCCTCCTGATGCCTAGGAGTTGAATTTTGTGATTGACTACAGTTACTCCAGTTTCTAAGGGAAAGCAAACCAATAATGGGTGGATATCCTTCACGGGGAGGGGCGGAGAAAGCACTCAGTTTGAAACTTATTCAAGTTGATGTATTCTTTGTGACTTAAGAGGAGTGAAATCTGTGACTATCTAAATTGAAAGAATCTGTGTTTTAGAACAAGCTGAGATGATACTGATTAAAATTAAGGCTATTTGATTTATTTCAGATGAATGTTCCTCTTTCTCCAGACTAAGTTCAATCTGTTAATGGGGAAAAAAATATATTGTTTTGTCCAGGTTCTCCTCGAGAATATTTGGAATATTACATATTTCCAATACTTCTGCCGGGAATGGCTGAACTTCTGCATCAAGCAAAGAAGGAAAAGTGTTTTGAGGTCAGTTCTTAGTTTTCAAGATGCTGTTTCAGGATTCTAAAGGGTTTTTTTAATGCACTATCTACATTTCATTATTTTGTCTTTTACAAACTGACTATAATAAAATAAAATAATGTATTGTATGTCATTTTTAAACTGAGTTAGTTTTGAGTAGTGTACTTCATAAACCCGATCAATATGACAAGCCCTACATGATGCCTTTTCCCATAAAACTCTTTCTGAAATTTCCAATTGTATCTAGCCCAGCTAGCTATCAAGCTTCAGGGGGAGGGGTCACCTTTCTAATTAACACCAAGGGGCACTCAGTTGAAGAAAGAGAGAAGATTATAGACCAGAGCAGCTGCAGATAAGGAATTTACATTTAATCTACTACAATAGTTATGAAAATTCAACACACTGCTCGATCATTGTAACTCTGTTGGAATATTGTCTTGATGATTTTTTTTTTTTTTGTTGGCATGTTGGCCTTTTGAAGTTTTGTGAAAAATACTGCTTATGTACACTATACAATTAAAGTATTTGGTTTCTCTGATAAAGACTGGGCGTTGTGGCAAGATTTATTTGCCACATATACAGTTTTATAAATGCTTCCATACATTTTTGTAAAATTGTTGTTCTTAATTCAAGTCAATTTAGTTATAGCAATCCAAATTCTGCCTTTAGTCACACTCTAAAAGTAATATTTGCTATGTTCTTCTGTCTGATTAATTGTTAATGTGCCTTTCATCAAACTTTTCTCCCTTATGTGTAACTGATTTGTCTGATTTACTCACACAACTTCAAAGGTGGCAAAATCATATAAAAATACATTAAGATTTTCTGTTGAAAGATACATACCAAATATGTTAAATCCGTGTTTCTCAACTGGGGGTTACAGGATGGGCTAAGGGGGGGTGGGCAGCAAGCAGGGCCAGTGTTAGGGGGTTGGAAACAGGGCAATTATCTGCCGCCCCATGCCACATAGGGCCCCACAATGCGAATGTACATAAAGCCTGGAGCCAGGAGCCCCAAGCAGGGCTGAAGCCCAAGCCCGGTGGAGCTGAGGGTAAGGGATCACAATTTTTTCTAGTGGGGGTGGGGGTCATGATATTTTTTTAAGTCCAGAGGGGGTCGCCAGCACAAAAAGGCTGAGAAACACTGTTTTAAATTAATAATCTGGAAACAAACCAGGGGAGTGTTAAATATTCAGACCCTAGATAGCAAAACATGCAGTTCAGACAGTTTTGCTATCCAAGCTACTGACACAGACTTCGTATTAAATATATATATGTGCCAGATAACAGACACAGTGGAACAGCTTTAAAAATGTTTGGTATGCAATTACATATGTAGAATTAACCACTGACATAGGCACACTTTTGATGCAGCCAAAAATACATTACACTTACCACACTTGGCTGCTCCTCCCAAATTTGTCTTCCATGTTCAGATCTTGTTCTTCTGTGTAAATAGCTTGCTTCAGTTTTCACTAAGACTTCACAAGGTTTGAGTGTAGTTCTAAAATCATTAGTTTTTAATAAGTGAGCAGGTTTATATCACCTGCGATTGACACTCTTGATGGAAATGGAAAATTGTTTTACTGCATGTCAAAATACTTTGTGAGCACTATACATTCGTGCCACGATATTTATAGTGTCTAGCTTAGAAATCTATTGATATATACAGTATTCATCACATCATATACAAGACCAGTATTGAGGTTTTTTAAAGAAAGGAAATCGAGACCACCTCATAATATGAAAGAATTAAATATTTTTAGGACAGTTGAGCAGTTAATGTTCACAGTTGCATAGCTTAGGTCTGGGATTTTGGTGGGGGGAGTGGCTTGGTTTTTTAGTTGAGACACGTTGGAAAGATTCAGTGTTGAATGGTCCTCCAATCCATATTTCTACTAATGATATGGTATTTTAGTTTGAGGGCAGAAGATTGTAACCGAAAGCGTAGGAATACTGGCAGTTTTAAAATCCACTGATGCTTTTTCTTAACAATTTATGCTACTCTATTAAAATGTGGTTAAATGCATTTTAAAGACCTCGTTAATGTAACAGTAAGAGCAAATAGAAGTCACTTAAAGATTAAGATAAGCACTGAGAGAACCCCACACTGTAACAAAGATATAGTTATTATGAGGTATGTAATAATGAGCTCCTTTGAGTCAATAATAAATTAATCCCAAGGATTAAATATGTGGTTTTTAGTAACAAGCAAAATAAAGTATCCGTGTAGGTAAAGTTGGTTTATGTTTTCTATAGGAATGTTTACAAGAAAGTAACAAAAAATACAAATACAAACTGTAAGTTATATTTGTCTGTAGTGCACCTTTTTACTTGCTATATTAGGAGTTGTTTTGGTTTTTTGTTTTGCCTTCTTTCTCACAAAAATTAGCACACTATCAAAGATAAACTAGGTTATTTTGGTTGTAAAAGGGAGTAACGTCATGTTGGTGGGGAGGGAAAGTTAGGAAAGCATGGGTGTGTCATATGACAGTTGTCCTCTGGGACATCATTTTTTGCTCTTTTGGAATAATGTTAGCAAAACAATAGCTCTTGGTAACCATATGCATGAATACTAGTGTTACTTTCCATTGCTGACCAAATGCTTAATACGTGGACAGTCTATTTTCATATCTAACTTGAATGCATGAATTCTAACTGAACCTTGCCTACTTCAGCTAGCATTCACATAGCCAAAGCATTATTCTTTGTTAATTACAAGCAAAGTCTACCGCGTAACTTGCATAAAAATGTTTTAAATGATAACTAGAACCCCTTTCTAATATTCAGAGAGCAATGCAATCATTTTCTTGAAACAAATTCAGTGCCTTACTTCTGCTTTACCTTTATTACACAGATCTTCTTGTGGATTTTTATACATTTGTGGTATTGTGATTTAAATATAACATGCACAAGTTGAATGAAATTATTCTTGATATAACAATTGAGGACCAAATTTTCAGCATTTCATAAATGTGCCTGGAAAAATGTGCAGCTACAAACATATTTACATATGTAAATTGACATTCTTGCTTATAGTAACTTACTTCGCATATACAATGAGGTCTTGTGTGTGATTATAGATGAGGCCCACTGAAAATGTGGTCACAATTCACACATTATCACAATGTACTGTAGGTGTCTGGCTATGCTGGAAAAAGGACAGGGACCTACTGGATGTGGTTTAATTAGGCTGAAACTTTATTCCTAAAAGTCTGGGGATACTCGGCAGCTAAAATTGTAAAGGACAGGTAATTACATAATCATTTACATATATCCCAGGGACTGCTGTGAGCCCTCCTGCTTTCCCATCCTGGTCCCCAGCCAACGCACTGCTGGGACCTCACTATTCCCCAAATGAGGGTTAAGGAGGATTACTAAGGGGTGGGGATTGACTCTCTGCCGTATCAGTCATAGGAGTCCTAAACCCACCCTGTTTCCTCTTCTTTAAAGAATACCTCTAAATCTTTTCCACATCCATTTTATCTGATCACCGTATCCATTCCCTATGGAGTACCTGCACTGGTCAGCCGGCACAAGGAGACACCAGCATTTAGCTTGGCTGTCTTCCCCACCCCGACATACCTAGATGGGTTCCCAGACATCTGATGCGCTCTTTAACATTGGCCAAAAATGTATCAGCTCCCAAGTCAGACAGGTGGACCCTATTCTGCCTGAATAACTCTGGTGCCGTGTATGCTATGTCCAGATAGAAAAATTAGCAACCCCCGTAGGCTACCTATGAATTTAGCCACCTCCCTGTTTGCATATCTCCTAACCTTCTCTACCCATGGGAGCTTCACTGTTCTCTGCTACACCCTTCATAGCAACATGTCTGACCACATAATTTTTACTCCTGGAAAAAGTTCCAGGATCTGCCCCAAGTCTCTCTTAGCTCTGACCATTAAATCTACCATTATACACATTCCCAAACCATTTCCCCACAAGATGAAGCACAATCATATCTGATGCCTGCTCCCGGGCCATCATGGTGTACAGCAGGGGCATCAGCTGGTCCCATACCATGTCCCTCATGCCATGCCAGCTCAGGACTGCTTCATCCCCAAGGACCAGCTGCGAATCTCCAGGCAACCTGGAAGCCCACCTATGTGCCCAGTAAACAATACTGTGCCACAGATCCATGTGGTCTGCTGGCCAATCTGCAAGTGCAAACAAAAAGGAAAATTAACACTGATTCCCTACCATCAGTGGGGGTCTTGTATACATACGGTATGCTTCAGAATGCCAACGCTGAATTGTCCCATTCCCCAGAACAAGCTGGGCTGCTGCTGTTGCTGCCCTAATCCTGACTGAGTGGGAACCAAATTCATGTGCTGGAAACCGCAGCCTCATCAGTCCCTGTCTTAAAATTTTAACAAACCGGTATGCTGTGAGGGAACTCTCATCACTGTGAATAAAGAGAGACCTATCCCTCCCTGGTCTTATTGCCATGTATGCCCTCACAGCACCCACAGGGCAGATCCCAGGCTTGTCCCCTTTCTGGAAAATAATGAATTCTCTCTGACCTCCTTGATCCATCTTTGACCTCCTCAAGGTTAATATCACCTCTCCAAATGTATATCCATCAATTCCAAACCCCTTCCAGAAGTATCCCTGCAGGACTCAGGCACTAGCTTGCTAATCCTAAAAGATCCACACAAAAAAACCCAAAACACTACCAGGAATGCAGCGCTGAACAAGGCCACCTCTTGTCCACAACGACATATGGAATCTAGGAGCCACACCACATCCCTGAACGTATTAACAGTGATTGAACAACATGGATCCTCCCAAGGGCTTGTGCTTCGAGACCACCCTGCTAGAAACCTCTGAACTAAAAACTCGCTACCAGGATCTGGGTCACCGTTCAGCCTACTGACAAACGTAAAGCCCAGTAGGCGAGTGGAGATGGTTCATGATGCAATTGCCAGGTTACTAACAACACGATGTACTGCAGCACCAGGTCCTCTGTAAATGGTCATATAGTTGGCAGCCCTCCAACTCCTG